AAGTCATGGTCAGTCCCTGAGTCATGAACAGCCTGACTGGAAGGGACCACAGGGATCACCAGCCCAGCCCCTGGCCCTGCACAGACACCCCAGCAATCCCACCCTGGGCATCCCTGGCAGCTCCTGCAGCTCTGGCAGCCTCGGGGCCGTGTCCATTCCCTGGGGAGCCTGGGCAGTGCCAGCACCCTCTGGGGGAAGAACTTTTCCCTGAGCTCCACCTTCTGACACACAGAAGGGTGTTTTGGTTTTTTGTCTGTTTTACAGAAAAAGAAAACTCCACTGTTTTTTTCTACTTTCATCTTTCCTATTGAAACAGCAGCTTGAGACTCCCTCTAAAGTTCACCAAGGATTTAAATGCACTTCCTGAAAAATCAGGAACACCTGGAAAGGCTCACGAGTCCTTCACGCTATACTAAATGGTCCTGGCACCCAGGCCATGCAAAAGCAACTTTCAGCCCAGAAGGGATCAAAAATTTACAAGCAACCCTAAAAAGCAAATGTGAAATTGAGCTGTTGTGATAGGTTGACTTAGGAAGAAGAAACTCAGAAGAGATTCTTCCTAAGGGAATTTCCTCTGTGGGGGTTGGGATACCTGCAACAGCCAATTAGAGAAAGTTAGTTCGCTCCGTGAACACACATTTTGAAGGAGGTAATCCGGAACTGACCCTCTTGGTCTTCCGGTGGCTGAGCAGGTAACATCAACCCGAGCTTCCCCCTCCCCCATGCGGGGGGGGGGAGGCTCGGGAGGCCGCTTGGGCCCCGTTTGCCAACGAGGGAGACCCGATGGCCGGGGGGAGAAAAAGTTGTGTGATAAGACCTTCACGGCTTCCTCCTCCACGGGCCTGCGGCTCTGGCGTGGGGGGAGGCCGACTCTTGCTGCTGCCGGAGGGGCCGGGCCTGCCCGGGTGGCCATGAGCAGTGTGGGGCTGCAGCCCAGCCCCAGAAAGGCTGATTAACACCTCAGCTGCCTCCCAGCTCAGCCTGAGCCTGGCCCAACTCTTGTAGTTGTGTTAAACTTTAACTCTTTAGTGCTCAGATAAGATTTGCAAAGCCTCCAGCCTTTCCTTTGAATATGAAAGGGAATAAGAAGATTTCTGAAGTCAGTGATGTAAGAGCTAAGTTTTTAAGATGGAAGGAGAATGAGAAGATGCTGAAATGGCTGAAAATCTTTTTGTGAAATTGTAGGAATGAACTGATGTACTGAATATTCCTATAAACCATGGAAAGAGACATGGGGGGATGGAAATGTTCCATTTAATAGATGATTTGACTAAAGAGCACCTGTGTTGAGAATTTCTGTCCTGAGAAAAGAAGGGGATTTTGGTTTTCTAAAGATAAAGCCTGAGCAGAGAAAAAGGAGACAGAGAGAATCTTTGCGGTTGAACATTTCATTCTTAAAAATAATACCCCATGGAGCAGACATGGCCCACATCTACAGCTTTGGGACGGCTGTAGAGGTGGGAGGAGGGTCACGGTTGCAGGTTCCCGGGCGGATGCAAATCGTGAAAGATAAAACCACAAGAGAACTGGTTTTTTTCCTCCTTGTGAGAAAAATCCCTACAACTTCAACAAGAAGAAGCTTCTCTCTCCAGAAGTGAACTGAAAAAGACTAAATTGGGCACTGACCGAAGTATTTGTTATATGTTTGTTTTGTAGTTATGAAGATTGGGAAAGGGAGGGAAGGAGTGATCTAAAAAATCTTATTCTGAAATTTTTTTTTCTCTCTCTTTTTGTTTGTGTAGTTAATAAATTTTCTTTTATACTCTCTCAAGTTTTAGGCCTGCCTTGCTCTTTTGCTCCTGGTTCTGTCTCACAACAAGAAAAATAAGTTTATTCAAATTGGCAACTCAAACTCTAGACATTAATTTGGTGCGTTAGCCGGGAAAGTCAAAATTAAACCAAGACAGCTGTATTCGCTAAACACCAAGGAAATGCAAACATGGAAAGTTTGTTTCTATTTTCAGTTAATTTCATTTCTTTCAGGCTACCTGAACATACAGGATGACTGGAGCACTACCAGGAGCACTGCAAACCCAACACACAACCACTGCCAGCCTGTCCCCCCTGCACGGGGCACTCACCAAAGTCTCAGTGCTGTGCTGCTGTTTCAGGCAGGGCTGGGCACCGATAGAAATTGAATTGGAATTGTGTTGTCTCTGGCTGGGACTTTCAAAAGCAGCTCTTGCTGAGTACCTGTTATCAAGGTATCCGCAAGCAGGCAGCTCCAAGGGCTAAAATAAAAGCCTTTGCTTAAGCACTGTTGCCTTTACCTCCAAGAAGGTAAATTGCTTTGAAGGTGAATCCACAGTGAGCACTACCACGGTCTGAGGAGATGCTGCACCAAGGAAAACCTGTTATGTAACTGCAGAATCAAAGAACAGCTCTCCCTGAACCACTAATACTCATTTTCCTTCTCTTGGGCTAATTATGCCCTCAGGGATACTCTTGAAAAGACACTGAGCCTACACCCAAAGACAGCAGTTGGTGCAAAATAAATGAGAATCTTTTGACTACACTGCACTTGTTATTTTAGGGGGAATGATGCTGAGGGAAGAAGGGAATTGTTTTAGTTTTATAGTCACAAAAGCCTTCCTGGTGCGTTATTTACAGGAAAATGTTATATGACATAAAAAAAAAACAACACAGCTTCTCTTTTTCACAGCTGAGTGACCACTGAAGAATTTGGTGAGCAGCTGAGAGGGAGAGCTGGGAGAGGCAGCTGGGCTGTAAGGACTCAACAGTTTAGAGCCTTGGAAAGTGCAGATTTATGTGAGCAGATCCTACCAGTGGCTCCAAAACCGGCACTACCGTGAGAACTGCATGAAGGGAGAAATGTGGACCCACTTATCCAGATAAGAAATTCCTGTCCCTGGAGTGTCACATGGACATCAGAGCTCTCTGGGGAGCCTTCTTTGAGTCAAAAGAATTATGGTAGGAAGGTGACCTTCCCTCCAGCACTGCTTTGTTTTCCAAATGGCCACTTTGTACAAAAGCAAGGTTGGTTCCATTCACACCCAAACCCAAACCAGCAAGGACTGGTGAGACTGAGCCTAGAGGAAATGCTGCAACCACCACACAGAGCACAGGGCCAGCACAGAGCACTGCCCCCATCCCCTGCCTTCTTTAGTAGTAACTAAATAAATGAATAAATAAAAACAAAAGGCTGCCACCTTAAACACAAAACAAAGTAAAATATCAATAAAATACAGTCAAATACATGACAAACTAAACCAAAGCAACTGCCACCACACCACAGCCTTCAGGACTGAGGCTGAAAAGATGGATTAGTCCAAGGCCTGCACGGATCCCAGCCAGCAGCAGCTCCCTGAGGGCCATCAGGAGCAGGCAAAGTCTCTGCCACTACTTGCTGAGCCCTTGGGTCTTGGGTCTTTCCTCACACTTTCCTTTCCTTTCCACACAGTTTGGCTCTTTGCTTCCCAGCTGTGTCAAGGCTGATGCAAACCCAGTGACCAAAGCTGGCAGCCACAGGCTGGGCAGAACACTGCCGAGCTCAGGCCAAAGAGCAGCCAAGGCCTGAGAGCAGAAGGGCTGGGGTGCACAGCTGGACTCACCCACGACACACCACACTCCAGAGCTCAGCTCTCAGTGACACAGGGGAGATCTCAGGAGCTTCAGCAGAGAAGCCCAGGGCACTGGGGGAGTCCCCATTCCTGGAAGTGCTGAATATACACAAGGATGTGGCACTTGAGCTCATGGTTTACTGCTGAACATGGGGGTGGTGTTGTGTGGGTGGTTGAACTTGATTTTAAAGACGTTTTCCAACCTTAACAATGCCATTGTAACACTGACTTAGCAGCAAACCAAGCACACTCCACCCCAAGAGAGAAAAGAAATCAGACTAAACTGCCTTTAGTCTCCGTGTGAGCAGCAAAAGGAAGCTCCCATCAGCCTCCTCCTGGCTCTGCCACTCCCAGCTGAGGCTCCTGAACTGCAGGGCTCAGTCTGCCTCTCCTCACGTTGGTCTCCTTTGTTTCAAAAAAAGACATTAAATCCACTCCAGCTGGTCCCATTGGAGAGCTGCTGATCTAAACACCTAGTGGATGGTTAAAATTAGTTTGAACTACTTCCTTTTCTGGAAACAGTGTTTCAGCAACAAATCAGAGTTTGAGATAAAAGCAAAGGACTAAGATGCAAAACAGATGCAAAGCTGATCTTTAAATATTCTCTGACAAACCTACGCTGTGGGAGCTGCAGAGTGTGGGACCAGTGGCACCTCTCTCAAGCTGCCCCAGCAGGTACATCAAACCCGGGGAGCCCCAGGCACTGCATGAGGAACCCAGGAGCCAGCAGAGTGTCCTGGGGGCGAGAAGGGCCCCTGGGATCCTGGGGACATTGGGAAGAGCATTCCCAGCAAGTCAGGGAGTGATCCTGCCCCTCTGCTCAGCCCACGTGAGGCACCTCTGCTGTGCTGTGCCCAGTTCTGGGCTCCACAGCTCAAGAAAGACCAGGAACTACTGGAGAGGGTCCAGTGGAGGCCACAAGGATGATTTGGGGTCTGAAGCATCTCTCTGATCAGGAGAGATGGTGGGAGCTGGGCCTGGTCAGTCTGGAGAAGGCAAGGCTGAGAGGGATCCCATCAATCCATAAAATATTCCCAGGTGGTGTCAGGGGATGGTGCCAGGCTCTGTTCAGTGCTACCAGTGACAGGATGAGGAGCAATGGCCACTAAACCACAACAAATTCCACCTCCACATGGGGAAGAACCGCTTCCCTCAGAGTGGCAGAGTTCTGGAACAGCTGCCCAGGGCAGGCCCAGAGTCTCCCCTATGGCCACATCCCAAAGCCCCTCAGACACATTCCTGTGCCACTTGCTCTGGGGGACCCTGCCTTGGACTGGATGATCTCCAGAGGCCCTTCCAGCCCCAGCCATTCCATGTGTCCTGCCATGAGGGCCCAGGGCAGCCCCTTTGTCACTGCTCTGCCCAAAGCCAGCACCAAGACTCTGAGCTGTGCCCCAGCTGCTCTGGGCAGAGCCTCACCTTGTTTTGTGAGTGCCTCTCTCAGGGCTGGGGTGATCATCTCTCTCCTCTCAGCCTCCTCCTTCCTGCCAGCTCCAGCAGCTCCTTCCTGCAGCTCCTGCTCTCTCTGTTGGAAGACAGGGAATTAATGTCAGCCAGTTAGAGCCAGGCATCACCCCAAACACTGGGGCACAGCCACACACCTGCTGGACCAAACTGAGCCAAATGCCACACAGCAATTCCTGCTTCCTTGGAACCCTGCATCTCATCCCTCTTCCCATCAGTAATTTAGGACAGCAAACTGGAAAAGGAACACCCCCCCAGCACACCAGATTTGTCCCACTGACACGGCAATAAAATGCCCAAGGATATTTTAACAACCAGGGTGTGAAATCTCATCCAAGAGTGACTCCAGGTTTTAATGCCAAAACGTTTCATGAGTGTACAACAACCAAACCAGTGTGTGCCTGGAGTGTCACTTCCTGGGAGAGCTCAGGGAGAAGCCCCAGGAGTTCAGAGAGCAGAGGAGCCCTGAAGCAGCAGCCACCTGCACCACCAAAACTCTGCCACAGCAAAGGCCTGCAGGAAAAGGCTGTTCCTCCTGCCCCACAGCTCCCTCCAGCAGCAGCCCATGGAAGTCTGGCTTCCAGCTGCCTCCACACACAGCTGAGCCCTGGGCAGGAGCTTTATTATTGGAATAAAGTCATAGGCAGGAGAAGCAAACCCTGGCACGTAACAAGTGGTGAGTCCCCTGCTGTGTGAGTGTCACAGCTGAGACTTTATGGGTATTTATTGTTTCATGTCTGCACAAAGAAGCATCAAAGTGGAAATAATTACTTGGATATTTCATGCAACTTGTAATCTGTCAGTCCTTTATGGCTTTTATTGAAGGAGTTATGGATAAACAACAAACAAAAACCAGCAGAGGACATTTTGTCTTGACAACACTGAGGCTATTTCACATGCAAGCCTCTTTTGTGCCAAAGCCATGGAAAAGTTAATGGAAATGCTTCCAGTTTGAGTCTCCCCACCAACTGCCAGCATCACTAAGGAAACCAGTGCTCCTGACTCACCAAACTGCTCATCACAAACAGGGAGAGGAGTCTGACTGCTCCTGCACATAAACAGACTGGTTCTGTACCTGAGCAACAGCTCAGAAAATAAAAGGTGCCTCCAAAGAAAAATAAATTTAAATATTAAAACCCACACAAAGAGAGGTTCAAGGACAAAACAGAACTCCTAATTAACACTTAGAAGGAAACAGGACAGTAAAACATTTAGGGATAGAGATTATTACTTTCCCTACTTGTTTTGGATAAAACTGTGCTCACAGTTTTAGGGATGTTGTTCAGAAATGTATTTTTGAACAACCAGTACCACAACATGGTCCTTTCTGAAGAAGAAAGCTGTATCCACCTTCTGCTTCCTTCCACCCCGCTGCCTGAGCCTTTAGGCAGGATTTCATTGGTTTCTGTAACACATCAAAACTCCCCTGGAAGCCTACATCTAACAATTAATTGTCATTTAGTGGGTTTTAAAGCTTATTTCTTAAGCCTTGATCTTAATTTATCAGCAAGATTCTTCAACAATAAAATATTAACATTGCTGGGAAAGCTTCATGCATAAGAAAACAAGGAGATAATAGATAGAAACTTCATCTTCTTCGTGTTAAATAAAGACCTTGTCCAGCCACAAACCATCACTTAACCCAGACCCCAGTCAAGGCCCCACCTTAGCACAGACTGAGGCCTAGGCTACAGGAAGGAGACCCTGCCCATGGCAGGGGAGTGGAACCAGAGGAGTTTTAGGGTCCCTTCCCACCCAAATCACTCCCTAACCCTGTCATTTGGGAGCCCCTCAAAGTCCTGACTAGAATTTAAACGTGGACACCTCCTGGCCTTAGCTCTGCCATCTCAGGCCAGGTCAATCCTCCCAGAAGAACTAAATCTCCACTATGGAGCACATCCTAATATTAAAAATGCAGCCATTGATTTAATTGCAAATCAGAGACCCCATCCAAGAGAGCCTCCAAACACAGACCAAGTCCTTCTGCATGGAAAACATTTGCATTTCTACCTCCCCATCACTGCAGCACCTGAGGAAAGCACCTCAATGAACAATATCCAATTCCTTCCTGGCAGGGCAGAAATACAGTTCAATGATCATTTTGCCCCCACAGAGAAGATCACAATTCTCTGTGCCCTTACCCTGATGTGAGAGCCTATAAACAAAACCATGCTTTGTTTTTCCCTGCCCTGCAATACCTGACCTGTTCACTTTGGCAGGGAATTGGCTGCACATACTCCTGGTGGGAAATGGAATTCACTGCACAGAGATTTTTACTTATTTGCTTAACAAACTTTTCAGATCTGCTGTTGAGGGTTGGAGAGGAGGGGAAAAAAGTTAACTTTGCGCAGAGCAAACTTCTCCAGTTGTGGTGATTTAGTAGAAAGCCCTGCAGTAAATCCAAAGCAAATCACTGTCTTTCCATAACAAATCAAGCAAGCAGTGACAAGAGCCAGCTTTTCAGGCCCTTGAAATACCTCACTGCCAAAAACTGGTGGTGCAGCTCACCAAAGGAGTGAGCCCAGAGATGAGGAAAACCTCTGGATACACCCTAATTCCTTGGAAGGCTCAGCACAGCTCTGCTGCAGGCTGGAGAAGTTTGGTTCTGAACAAAGGCAGAAGAACCTCAGGTATGAGGGGAAAAGGCAGCTGAGGAGGAAAGGAATCCTCTCCCTTTCTCTCTCAAACAGGCAGCACAACAGGCAGAGGTGGAACCTTCCCAGGGCAAGGAAAACACAACTTCACAACTGACAAAAGTGAGGGCCTCAGCATTCCCTGCCCCAGGACAAATCCCAGTGCCAGTGTTTCAAAGGGCTTCCTCCAAATCTGCCTTCCAAACTCAGCCCCAGCCATCCCCAAAGGTGCCCAGCAGGATGTGCTAGTGCCACTTGTCCTGCTATCTGAAGTGCTCTCTCCAGGCTGTCCAGCTGCCCAACTGCTCCCTGTGCTTCTCACTTCATCCATCAAACACTCTTCAAACTGATCGTGCAGGGGGGAGAAAAATAAAAAAGGCACTGAAACCCCATACAAAGGCTGGGAAAGCCTGGGGAAGAGGAGATTGTGTGGAGACCTCCCAGTGCCTTCCAAGGTCTGGAGGGGATATAGGAAAGCCAGAGAGGGACCTTGCATCAGGAACTGGAGTACCATGACAAGCAATAAAATGTTCAGTCTGACAGAGGGGAAATTAGAGTTAGATATTAAGGAGAAATTATTTCCTGTGAGGGTGGGCAGGCCCTGGCACAGGGTGCCCAGAGCAGCTGTGGCTGCCCCTGGATCCCTGGCAGTGCCCAAGGCCAGGCTGGACATTGGGGCTTGGAGCAGCCTGGGACAGTGGGAGGTGTCCCTGACCATTGAACAAGATGAGCTTTAAGGTCCCTTCAAACCCAAGCCATTCTGTATTCCATTCTATGATTCCCTAATCAATTTAGTACTTTTAGCCTCATGGCTCTTTTTACTGATGTGCCAGGGCAGAGGAAAAAAAGCTCCCCCAAAAGCTTTTACTCTCAGAAAAAAATTCACACCCAATTATGACTCAACTTCTTCCCTGCTTAACCTCCCAGTGGTCAGACAAAGAGAACCCCTGGCCTTGCCATGATTTACAGCCTCATCCATCTATAAGCTCCAGGATCTTTTCCCAAATGAAAAGCACAAGTATTAAGCAAACAGGAACACACAGGGCTAGAGCCAGCACGAACAAAACAGCACTGAGGGAATGCTGGCCAGGCTGTCAGGAAAAGCTGCTGGCAGCAAGAAGGATTAGCAACACTTCCCCAGGAGCTGGGGAATGAACTATTAAAGTTCCTGAATTATATGAAGGAGAGTTAAAGTTCACAGAGCAGAGCTCTGGAAGCAATGCCCCAGGGGCAGCAGGACAGCCAGCACTGCTGGCAGCTCCTCCCCCTGCTCAGCCTCTCTGGCAGGGCCACCACTGACAGGAACCACGTGGAGATTTGGGGAGTTGATAGCACACCACGCTGCCCACAGGAATGGCACTCTTTTCCTTACCAAACAACCTTCCTGCAAGGCTGAAACAGATGGGGAAAAGGGGACAGGGAGCCACTCCACAAAGACACCTCTGAACACAAGCACAGGAGCAGAGGGTGCACTGTGGGGACTGTCTTCCTGTAGAACGCAGCTGTGGCTGTCACAATTCAGCTGTGACAGGCAGAGACAGAGCTGCAATTTGCTGAGCCCAGGGATGAACACCCTGTCAATCCTACAGCATCCCAGCCCTCGCTGCTGTCAGTCCCCAGCAGAGCTGTCTCAAGCAGAGCTTGGAGCTCCTGCAGCAGAGAGAACTGAGAACTCAGACTGAGTGAGCTGTGAACCAGTAGACAGCCCAACAGACAGCAAATCTTATTAAAAACAGCTGCCAGAGTCTACATAATCACAGGCTACACAACCACCCCAGCACTGCCCAGTGAAGCACAAAGAGCTGAGAGCAGCACAAGGAGCTGAGATGGGAATGGGGCAATGCAGCACCTGACTAAAACATCAGCCTGGGCCAGAAGGGAAAACGGGGGCAAGTGCTCTCAAAAAGTGGCCCTAAAGTCACAGAATCATGGAGTGGATTGGGAAGGACTCTAAAGGTCACCCAGTTTCACCCTGCCATGGGCAGGGACACCTCCCACTGTCCCAGGCTGCTCCAAGCCC